GTCAACTTTCCCAACCCCCAAAAAATCACATAACACCCTCCTATCCAATGTCATATTCACGCTACGTACATGTGACCTAGACAAGTTGTAATTCCAATTAGCATATAATTTCCTAACCATGCTCAAATTTGTGTGTCCAGGGCATTCTAGGAGTTTGTCCATTTTCAATGCTCGTAATCGGCCGAGGACATCCGGGAAGTTACGTTCCAAAGCTTTGATATTGATCCCCATCTCGGAGACATACCGCCCATATGGCACGAAATCCCTGTGCCATGCAATAGCTGCATCAGATACTAGCTTCAACCGAGGCCTTGAGGGTAATGGACCTTGTTGTGATGCCTCAGCAACCTGTTTTCCTTTGGATTGTTGTTAAGAGCTTTCTCCCTGCTTTCACTTTTTGGGCGCTGGGGGAGTGGTGGATGACTTTCCAATGCCCTTGCCTTTGCTAGAATCATAACGAGCCATAATATCCTGCAACACAAATAAGCATGAATGTGAGAACTTGTCAAGAAATATGCCTAAAGTTGTCGTGCAAGACATGAAATGACCCCACACTTAAAACTGAAGGCTCAATGTACAATACTTCACAATTTTTTATCTAACATGTACAAGTGTTGCACGACAAAGCTATGGGTACTCAAGACTTCCCCATGCCACACAATAGTGAGTGATCATGGCTAAGTGAATTCACATTAAGGTAAGCAAAGGGCATATGGTACTCACTTTTCCACAACTACTAGACTACACTAAATTAGTTAAATTTACAAGATTCTACAACATACATTATATAAGATAGATGGTGTAGGAATATGATTTGCATCAAAGCAAAACTCCCTAGCATGTAAAAGTATCCCTACATACCACACACTTAGCCCAAATTCATACACAAATATACGCGGTTATTCAGACTCCACCGGTTCACCAAAATCTTCATTCAAGCATTTTAACCAACACCTTGTGGGCATAAAGTGTGTCCTTCTATTTCAATAATGGTGGAATATGGTGGCCCTCCCAAATTTCAACGAAGTGGAGGAAATTCTAGTTTACTACTCCGTATACACAATAACTACACAATTTCAACCAACTCAAGCCACCCACCATAAAAATTTCATAAGAACTACATAGGAAAAAATTTGGGGATTAGGGCTCTTGGGGGATGGGATGTACATTTTTATCTACTCATTAAAACAGAAAAAGAAAAATAACATACCTGTAGACTTGAGAAGGAGAGCAAGAGAAAAAAACTTGGAGAAAATTTTTGTGAGGAAGAAGAAGAAAATTCGGGTAGAAACAGTGTAGAGAAAGTGAAGCAGCGTGTTGGTGTTTGAGTTTAATTGGGTTAAGGACGGATATGGGTAGTAGGATGGGTTATAATGTTAGTGGTAATGGGTGGGGTTAAATGGGTATGGGTCAATGAATAAATAAAAGAAAAATGAAAATAAAAAAAACTTTACCTGTACACCCCCAGCCCGGCGCTTCGCGCCCTGCCTGGCGCTGGGGTTTTGAAGTTTATGTTTTCAGCGCCCCAGGCAGCGCTGGGCGCTAGCCCGGGCGCTGTTTTCGAGATGTTTTACTTTTTTTTTATGCATCCCGATCCCCCGAGCCTTTTATATACCCAATTTACATGTCCTACACCATTCTACTTATAATTTCTACGCCTACAAAGAAAATACAAATTAACAAGTTAAATTGGGAAAGCAATAAAAATTGGATTGCCTCCCAACAAGCGCCTGATTTAACGTCGCGACACGATGTAGAGTCTCGCTTAATCATCAGCAAGTACAACCTTTGTCTTCTCACGATTAATTATTCCTCCCCAATAGTGCTTGACTCTATGTCCATTCACCAAAAATTTCCTTTCACCATTTAAAGCTCGCAGCTCAATTGCACCATAAGGAGTGACTCTCACCACCTCAAACGGGCTTGGCCATCTCGATTTTAGCTTTCTAGGAAATAGCCTTAGCCTAGAATTGAATAATAATACCCGTTGGCCTGGCTCGAAGTGACATGACTTGATGTGCTTGTCATGCCATCTTTTTGTCTTTTCTTTATAAAGCTTAGCATTTTCATAAGAGTGCAGCCTGAACTCATCTAACTCACTAAGCTGCAAAAGTCTTTTCTCGCTCGCGGTTTCAAGGTCCATGTTCAGCTTCTTAATGGCCCAGTATGCTTTGTGTTCAAGCTCAACGGGCAGGTGACATGCCTTTCCATAAACAAGCTTATAAGGGGACGCCCCAATTGGCGTTTTGTATGCAGTTCTATACGCCCATAAGGCATCATCTAACTTTGTAGCCCAATCCTTTCTATTCACACTCACCGTATTCTCTAAGATTTGCTTGATTTGACACCTCAACTTGCCCACTTGTTTGAGGATGATATGCCGTAGCAACTCTATGGCGAACTCCATATTTACTAGCAGGTTATTCAACAACCGATTGAAAAATGAGTCCCCTCATCACTATTTAAGGCACGTGGAGTCCCAAATCTCGAGAATATGTTCTTTTTCACAAACGCAGCTACCACCATGGCATCATTTGTTGGAAAAGCAATTGCCTCCACCCATTTTGACATGTAGTCAGCTGCTAGCAAAATGTATTTGTTTCCTCTGGACGATGGGAATGGTCCAATAAAATCTATCCCCCACACATCAAAAAGCTCAACTTCTAGGATGTTATTCAAAGGCATCTCATGCCTCCTTGGGATTGTTCGTGTTCTCTGACATTGGTCATACTTCTTAACAAATGCATGGGCATCCTTGAATAAAGTTGGCCAAAAGAGACTGGATTGCAATACCTTTGCAGCTGTTCTATCTCCTCCATGATGGCCCCCATAAGATGATGCATGACAATCATACAACACTAGTTCCACCTCCTTTTCTGGAATGCATCTCCTCATCAACTGATCAAAACACTGCTTGTACAAATAAGGCTCATCCCAATAGTAGAAGTTCATATCATGTAGAAACCTCTTTCTAGCTTCAGATTCCATTTCAGGAGGGAGTACCCCACTCACAAGATAATTCACGTAGTCTGCATACCATGGGGGAGGGTCTTGGGTTATAGCAAAAAGTTGCTCATCAAGAAATACTTCTTTAATTTGGCCACCCTCCTCCACGTGATTGTGATTTACCAGCGTTGATAAATGGTCAGCTACTTGGTTCTCGGTCCCCTTTTGATCTTGTATTTCTACATCAAATTCTTGCAACAACAAAACCCAACACATCAATCTAGCCTTAGATTCCTTTTTTGTAAACAAATACCTGATTGTTGCATGATCGGTATGGACTATGACTTTCATTCCCATCAAGTATGCCCGTAATTTTTCAAAGGCCCACATAACAGCTAACAACTCCTTTTTAGTGGCGGTGTAATTCAATTGTGCATCATCAAGAGTCTTACTCGCATAGTAGATGGAATAAAACACTTTGTCCTTCCTCTGGCCTAGCACTGCCCCAATAGCATGGTCACTCGCATCACATATAAGTTCAAATGGTAAGGACCAATCTGGTGCCACAATAATGAGAGCAGACACCAACTTCTTTTTTAAGTTCTTCAAATGCTTTGAGGCAGGCGTCATCATAGTTGAAAGTTACATCTTTTTCAAGCAACCTGCACAAAGGAGTAGCAATTTTAGAAAAATCTTTAATAAAGCACCGATAGAATCCCGCGTGTCCCGAGAAACTCCGGACACCCTTCACCAAAATAGGTGGAGGTAATTTTTCAACCGCCTCCACCTTCACCTTATCAACTTCAATGCCGCTCCTAGAAACTCTATGACCCAACACGATGCCTTCTTGTACCATAAAATGGCACTTTTCCCAATTCAGTACCAGATTAGTTTCTTCACAACGGCCATCACCTTGCTTAAATTCCTCAAACAATCATTATAAGACGACCTAAAGACTGAAAAATCATCCATAAGAACTTCCACAAATTTTTCCACCATGTCGGTGAAAATAGCTATCATGCATCTCCGGAAAGTGGCTAATGCATTGCAAAGACCAAACGGCATTCGCTTCAAGGCAAAAGTGCCATAAGGACAAGTAAAAGTGGTCTTCTCCTGGTCCTCTGGGCATATGACAATCTGATTGTATCCCGAATAACGATCAAGGAAGCAATAATATTCATGCCCGGCTAATCTGTCCAGCATTTGGTCAATGAATGGAAGCGGGAAGTGGTCCTTGTGGGTTGCTTTGTTGAGCCTTCTATAATCAATGCAGACTCTCCACCCCATCACAGTGCGAGTAGGAATTAGCTCATTTTTCTCATTCTCAATCACAGTCATCCCTCACTTTTTGGGCACACATTGAACTGGGCTTACCCAGTTGCTGTCAGAAATAGGAAATATGATAACTGCATCGAGCAATTTGATTACTTCCTTTTTCACAACCTCTTTCATAATGGGATTTAACCTTCTCTGCTGCTCCACATGGGGCGGTGTCCATCCTCCAAAAAGATTTTATGCATGCAAAACGATGGACTAATTCCCTTGATGTCAGCAATAGTCCACCCAATAGCCTTTTTATGCTCGCGGAGGACTCTGAGCAATTTTTCTTCTTGGGCGTTAGTCAAGCTGGAGGAGATAATCACGGGCAATGTCTCAGAGTTCCCCAAATAAGCATAACGCAGGTGCGCTGGTAGAGGCTTAAGTTCTAGCTTTGGGGCTTCTTCAATAGATGGCTTAGGAGGGGTCAGAGTGACAGGTCTGTCCAACTCCTCAAATTTTCCAAACCCATGGACATAATTCCAGGACATATCAAGTACTTGCTCAATTTCCCCCATCATTCATCTTTACTATCTTCTTCATCCCGTCAAAGCTCGTTCAAGAGGATCTATAGGGCTCATATAAGGCACTAATGATGTAGCATCACTTTCCACCACAGAAATCATGGATAGTTCTTCATAGTGGGATGGTAACTTGAGTGCTTTATAAATATTGAATACCTCCACTCGATCACCCACTCTCATTGTCATCCTTTCTTCGCAGAAATCGATAATAGCTCAGCTCGTGGCTAAGAATGGACGCCCCAAAATAAACGGGACTTCCTGATCAGGCTCGTAATCCAAGATAATGAAATCAGCTGGGAATATAAAAGAACCCACTTGAACTAACACATCTTCAATCACTCCTTCAGTATGAGCAAGGGAGCGATCAGCCAACTGTAAGATAATTGTTGCTGGGTGTGGCTCACCCAACTCCAACCGTCTGAACACAGATAGTGGCATCAAATTGATGCTCGCTCCAAGATCACATAAAGCTCGCCCAACAGCATGTTTACCAATCGAGATTTGGATAGTGAAACTACCTGGATCCTTCAATTTATGAGGTAACTTGCCTTGAATTCTTGAACTGCACTCCTCAGTGAGTGCCACAGTTTCGAACTCGGTCAGCCTCCTTTTATTTGCCACTATGTCCTTGATGTACTTTGCATATTTGGGTACTTCTTGTAAGATGTCAACCAATGGAATATTAATTTACACCTGCTTTGAAATATCAAGAAACTTTTTATATGTGGTGTTATCCTTTACTTTCTGCAATCTTTGAGGGAACGGAGGTGGTGTCCTTGCAACCAATGGTGGGGGTTGCTCAGCCACCGCCTCTCCAGCTAGCTTCTCTGACTCCTTAGATTTTTCTGATGTTGATTCTATAGTGGCTGGCCTCTCATTAAAAGTCACATGTTTCCTCTTTTTAGACTGAACTTCTTCTAATTGTCTCCCATTCCTCAACGACACGGCATTAAGGGGTGTCTTAGGATTAGCTTCAGTGTCACTTGGAAGAGCTCCAGCTGGTCTAGTGTTTTGAGCACTGGCAAGCTGTCCCATTTGGCACTCCAAATTTCTCATTATTGCGGCTTGGGCTTATTGCTCAGCGATAAATTTCTGAGGGAGGGCTTGTTGTTCAGCCATCATTTTTTCAACATGTCTTCAAGGTGACTTGTTGGACTCGCTTGTTGTTCAACCTGAGGTGATCTATATTGCTGTTGAGGTGCTTAAGGCCGGTATTGATTCTAAGTACCTTGGTTTCCACCCCAAGAGAAGTTTGGGTGGTTCCTCTAGTTGGGATTGTAAGTGTTCCCATATTGGTTTGTTTGGCCCCTATTTGCATTACCCACAAAGCAGACAGACTCTGGATTAGCGGGGCATAAGTCGCTCGTGTGACCCTCTCCACATATTTCATAAAACACTTGAACCTGTTGTACCGGTTGTGCTTGTTGCTTGTTGATAATCAAGGTCATCTGATTGACTTGGTTGGTCAGTGTAGAAATCTGCACTGATAATGCTGAGACGATCTAACTCAAGAAACCCTGCAGACTTTTGCACTGTGTGTCTGCCCATCTCTCCTTGCCTATACGGATTGCTTTTGGAGAATTTGTTCAATAATGCATATATCTCGTCAAAGCTTTTCTCCAACACTTGACCTCCAGCTGCAACATCTACCACAATCTTTGTTTCAGGATGTAGACCTTATATGAAAGTGTGAACTAATACTTCTCTTGTCTGATTGTGATGAGGACAGTCTCTAATTAGCCCCTTGATCCTCTCCCAAGCTGAGTATAAAGACTCTCCCGCTTTCTGTTTGAAGGCAACTATCTCACTTCTGATCTTTGTAGTTTTGCCTGAAGGGAAGAACCTTGCCAGAAATTTCCTTGCCAAATCATTCCATGAGATTACTTGGTTCTGCCTTCAGCCATCGCTTGGCTTCGCCCAACAGTGAGAATGGAAAAAGTTTGAGCCTCACATAGTCTGGAGTGACTCCGTTAGTGATATAAGTGTCACTAATCTCCAAGAAGTTTAGGATATGCTGTTGTGGATCCTCGTGTGGAAGACCCATAAACTACCCGTTCGTATGAAGTAGCTGGATCATGCTTTGTTTCAGCTCAAAGTGCCTAATGATTCTGGGCTTCACAATGCTAGAGGTGACATTGGCAATGCTGGGCATCGCCACCTCCTGAACAGCCATGTGTTATTCCTCTTCCATGTTCCCAGGAAACTGAACAAGTGCCTGAATATTATTCATGTCCCTTGCTTCCCTCAACCTCCTGTGAACTGTTCTCTCAGGTTAAGGGTCAAAGCCTTGAAGTCGGTCATAGCTTCTGACCCTACGCATTCAATCAAATTTCTTGAGATGTGAGCAACAATCAAGTAATGTTAGACTTGATGAAATAAACAAAATAAGCAAAAACTAGAAAGTAGTTAATATTCAAGTCCCCGGCAACGGCGCCAAAAACTTGTTGCTCCCAAACACACACGCAAGTATACGTGGTCGTACAAGTAATAAAATGATAAGTCAAGTGTCGAACCCATAGAGACTTGTATCAACTACCCACTAAAATCACCAAGATTGTTATTCAGTCAAGCCAAAATCAAGTTCAAGAATGTGATTATACTAAATTATAATTCTAAGTATTACTAAAATATCAAGAACTAAAATGATTGTTATGTATTCAATAGAGACAAATATTCCAGGGTTGTGATCGATTCACCAGTCCTATTGTGTTCTAGTTAACTCTCCCTCTCATACAATTCACTTATGGTTGCTAATTAATCGATAATTGCTCTCATAGCCTTCTCCAGAAGTACTACTCGCCTATTCAAAATAGATTAACGCCTATATTCCTATGAAATCAATCTATTAAGAACGCACTAAGACTACGATATTTAATTAAGCATGGTGACTAGGTATATTCCTATCCTAACCACAAATCGCGCCCCTAACAGTTAAGATCATGCTCTCTTCAATTCTTCTCTTATCTAAACACAACTTTCCCAAGCATAGCATAGATAGTAAATAGAACCTAACTGCTGGACAGATAATTAAGCAATTAATCACAGAATTAAAGAAACAACCATATATTAGCGAACTATAATCAAGTTTAAGTCGACGTTAAACAACAATATTCATGGTTAAATCACAACCCCAGAACAATGGGTTTTTAGCCACTCATGATATTAGCAAATAATTTCATAAGTTTGGATAATTGAAAATACTAAGAAAAGATGAAGAATCTGAAATGTTCTTGCTCCCCGATGTTTCTTGTGTGTATTCCCTTTCCAAAGTGGCGTCCCTCCTTCAAAAATAAGTTTAGTCTTGCTTTTATACGTGTTGGGTAGGTCTAGGGCCGAAATAACCGTGTCCCGGGCAAATTTTGACAACTTTCACGCCACTGGCGCCCTGGCTGGCACCAGGCGCCTCCACGGCGCTATGAAATTTAAGATCCTGTTTTTGGCGCCATAGGTAGGGCTGGGCGCCAACTATGGTGCTAAATGTCCCCTTTCCCTATTTTCGTCCGTTTTGGCTTTAATTTTGCACATTCCGCCCCCGATTGCTCCCAGATCATTCCTACACATGAAAACACATCAAATTAACATAAATTAACACATTTCACATCGTAAATCCACGGAGATATATATATATATACTTTAAGCAAAACATCCGCCAGGGCAGGCTCTGCTGCGGGCGCCTCGCTCTGCTCCTCAATTATGGGATCCCATGCTAGATCCGCCGGTGGTGCAACTAGGGCAGCTCTGGGATGCCCTCGTCCCCTGCCTCGGGCAGGTGCCCTCCCCCGGCCTCTAGCAACAGGGGGAGCAGTGCCTCCCAGGTTTGGAACGTCTGCCGTGCATGTTCTCACCATATGTGAGAGAATAGAAGAAGCATTTTTAGTATACCATCAACTGTACGATAGAAGATGAATAAGGAGTAGTTTCCTAACACCCTATATCCTCTCGAAGATAAGTAAACACGTCTCCGTACCGATCCGCCAGACTCTATTAGGTTTGCCCGTGAGTTGTGAGACCTACGTGAACCTAGTGCTCTGATACCATGTTGTCACAACCCAATTTCTATTATAGGTCGTGATGGAGTCCAACACTATTGTTAGCCAAGCCAACCCTAATAAACCAGTGAGGTCTCATTCTTTTAATTAATCATTCTCGCAATTTACTTAACTTAAATTCAAAAAAATCGATAATTAATAAATTATAAGGAGACTGAATCGGGATAGACTAAAAGGGATCATAGCAATATGAATACAACCCAAAAATAATAGTCTACTAATGTGTGTGCCAGGAAATAGTGTCACAAGTACTAGGGCAACTAGTAGAATGTACAAAAATACAACTAATCCTACTGCCTGAATAGAATAGACAGTAAATGAGAAAAAGGAGAGACTCCGGCATGCTGCCGAATGGCTCAGAAGGGGTAGATCACTGTGAGATCTCGATCAGGTATTAGGAACTCGCGCCGGACTGATAGCAAGATGCACATGCCTCAGATCTTGAACATTTAAGTACAGAAGCGTAGTATGAGTATATAAACAATATGTAACCAGTAAGTATCCATTCTAACCTCGAAGAAGTAGTGACGAGGGGTCGACTTGACACTTACTAGGGTTAATACTAATATAATTCAAGTGTTACGCTGAGCATGGTTATGAATATAATGTAGTCCAAGAACAAGAAAAGATAAAATATTCTTTCCTAACATAACAATTTTAGTCATATCATGTGATAAGTTACATTCCCAAGCATTCAAGCAGTGTAAATCACGGAAAGTTCCACATAAATAACATGCGCACATTGTGCCGAGGTCGTACGGCCCGATCCGATACAATAATAAATCGTGCACTGCCAGAGGGTCGAATTGTGCGAACATAGATATATCTATTTACTACCGAGTCGATCGGCCCGATCCACAAATAGTAATTTATTATCAAGTAAGCACACATTGCCCATTTATAGTCAAATAATTCATAAAAGTTCTCAAGTAAGTGAGTATAGCCGTCTATATTTAATTACCAATTTCTAGCATGACCTAAGTGATCTTAGTAACAAGCAAAGACGCAAGCATTTGCAAGTATAGCATGATACGGGTCCTAAACTACCCGGACAATTAGCATAATAGTAGCTACGTACGGACTCTCATCACCACGTACGTACGTAGCCTCCACAGGTAGTCACATACATTTATTTAATTCACCTATGGGGTTAATTCCCTCTTACGAGGTTAGAAATGAGACTTACCCATCCCAAAGCTTACTTCAAATTTCAAGAATGCGCACAAACCCTAAATCAGAGTCGAACGATCCAAAACTATTTAAATGGAGTAAGAACTAGTCAATATATGCTCATGAGTTCATATTCTAACTATTAAACAAATTTCCTAACCCTAAATGCAAGGTTCCTAAAATTCACCCCCAGGCGCACGTGCCCGGATTCCAGAAATTTTGAAGAAAGTTGTTACCCATAACCTAAGGATCAAGAATATATGATTTCAACTACATTCTGTGAGCACGTGATTTTTTTCCTATATGAATTACTCCCATAAATTCAAAATAAAATAATTTCTTTTCACTATTTGAAATTTTGTGGATTTTTGTGGCATTTTCTATTAATTGTTTGCATTTTTGTCTGTGCATTTTAATTAATGAAAAATACAAAATATATGTGCATTTGCATTTAGAGTCATAGTTTATATTTTTAGGTTAATTAATTAATCAATTGTGGTAAAATATGAAAGAAAATAACAAAAATAGTTTAATTTGCGTTTTTATTCTAAATCTCAATTTGGATAATTATCATTTAGGTTTAATTAGTGTATTTAGGTCAATTAGGGTCTAGGAATTAATTTAGATTTTTTATTTTAATTTTGGAAAAAAAAACAACAAAAAAGAATTTGTGAAAAGAAATGAAAGGAAAAGGGATTTAAAATGAGAATAAAATTTGGGCCAATCTTTGAATTAATTCCCCAGCCCAAACCTTCAACCCCTGAAACCCGGCAGACCCGGCCCAAACCCGCGTCGTCACCCGGTCCAGCCCCATCCTAAGCGAAACGACCCCGTTTA